CTTCATCCACGGCAGTCTTCAGGTGGGCTTCTGGTGGTGGTGGAGCCTGAAATTGTCATTGAAAAGCCAAATTGTAAATGCAGTTTTGCAGATGCAAGCAGTTTCCTTGCAAAGATTCATAGTTTCCATTGCCTTATTCAAGACAGCCCCTTGTGCCCCTTTATAATTACCATACCAAGAAGGAGGGGCTAGCCCATGGTCAAGCTGGTTATTTGTGGTGAGAGCCCACCTTTCCACTTGCCCCCTCAGCTTCCTAAGGGGAGGTGGGGGTACTCCTTGCCATTTCTTTCATTTCTTAATGTGGAGCAAGCCAACTTTGGCCTTTCAGTTAAAATGCTGCCCTGTCCTATCGATGTGTTCCTATTTTAAGTAACTCCTCTGTCCCGACACCTGACACCTGATTTCCCCCAGGGCCCAGCATGCAATTTTGCCTTCTTGCATAGCATGGCTGTGCCCTCCATGTGAAGCCTCCCCTCCGCTTCTTTAAACCAGGGCTTTGAACCGCTGCATTCTGGTTCAGCCCTCTGCGGGGACTCTACTTCCCACCTCCATAGACTGAATCAGAATCAACAGTTGAGCAAGATCTCCAGGTGCTTCTTATGTGGACAGAATGTCTAGGAGGGAGGTGTTTGGGGACTGTGGGGAGGGAAGAGGATGGGGGTGTCTCGGAGGCTCGGCACACCCAGGGGTGTCTAAGAGAATCCCTTGGTCAAAGGCAGGTTCTGATTCAGTATAATCCAGTGGGAAGGCAGGTTCTCAGCAGGGGGTTAAACTGGAGCAAACCCATTTTTGAAGCCCTGATTTAAATACTTTCCTTTGATGAGAAACAAAGTGAAAGCCTGCATCTCAAACCTTACAAATGCGTCTGTAATATTGACATTCTTCAGTGCTGAGTAAATCAGACAAAAATCCCTATTTTCATGGATAGTTTTCAATGAGAAGAAACAAATGAATGACACAAATGAAATAATGTAATATAGTTGACTGTATACACTACCATCGAGTTGATTCAGAGTCACCCCATAGGGCAATGGAGCAGCTCCTTAGAGTTTGAGACTGTAAATCTTTACAGGACTACACAGCCACATCTTCCTCTGGTAGAGCAGCTTGGATTTGAACTGCCTACCTTGCCATTATCAGCCCAACACTTAACCCACCGTACCACCAGGGATCCTTCTACATTAGAAGGTAATGCTCTCTATTGCTTCTCGGCCTTTTGGCTAAGATCAAGTGTAGAAGGTACTGCGCTGCAGAGTTATCGGGGTGGGGCAAAGTGAATGCTGAAGTGACTCTTTAAAGGGGAGGGGACTCTCTTAGGTCACGGGAGAGAAAGTGGTACTTGAGCCAAGATCTGAAGGAGGGAAAGGAGTGATACATGAAGAGTTTTGAGCATGGCAGAGCTGGGAGCAGCCAGGGCGGAGGCACTGGGACAGGTGCATGGCTAACACACTAGGGAATTTCTAGTAGCTCAGTGGCTAGAGCGGTGAACCAGGAGAAAAGTAGATTAGGCCAGAGAAGCCCTGTCGGGGTTGGGAAGGTAGCATACTGTGCAGCATATATGGAACATTTGAAAGATTCTGGTGTCTGCGTGTAAGTGAAATGGAGGAGGCATTCCAGAGCTCGGGGCTGGGAAACAGATCGGACTAGAAGGATCACTCTGGCAGCCGTTGGAAATAGATAAAAAGATTAAGGGCCAAAGCAGGAGACCGGTTAGGGGCTCTTTTAATAATTCAGAAGATAAATAATGGATCAGAGTAGGAGTCAGTAGACGTGGTTTGGGTCTAGATTCTAGATACATTTTAGGGGTAAAATCTGCAAGATTCCTAGAATCAAAGGTGGGCTAAGAGAAGTAAAATCAAGAATGATTGCAAAGCTTTAGGCTTGAGCTCTGGAAAAGGAAGGCTGTTGCCATTTGCACAGAGGGAAGTCTGGATGGGGCAGGGTTTTGTTTTTAAGGTGGACTGAAGAGTAGGAACTGAGTTTTAATATAGTAAGTTTGTTATTTGCACGTGAGTGCACAGTTTGGAGTTGAGAGAAGAGGATTAGATGAGAGATTAGTTGGAATTGGGGAGATGATGTTTAAAGCTACAGTAGTTAATGAGTTTACCAAGCACCTGCCTCGATAGTCGATAGTCGGAGGAGAAGAGTGAGTTAACGGTGAGGTCGGAGAGAAATAGGGGATATGGGGCCCTGGAATGCAAGTGAAGTAAATGTTCCTAAGACAAAGAATGAGCATCTATATCGAAAACTACTGTTTGATCAAGGACCATGATGACTGAGACTTTATTCTTGGTAAATTGTAAAATTATGAGGATGGGTGGGATCACTGGCTATCTGGATAGAAATAGTTGTGGTGGTATGGTTGGTAAAATCCTCATTGACATAGTTTTAAGAAAGGGAGAAGAATTGGAGATAGTGAATATAAACCACCCAAATTATTTACTTAAAAAGGGAGCAAAGAAAGGGTACTGTCGTTAGCAGAGAAGAAAAGTCAATAAGGGGAAAAAAAGAAAGGTCATGAAGGTCACACCCCCACTGTTCTCTTATAAACATGATTAGGTTCTAATGACGAGATTGTTCGGGGCAGTTCATGAGGAGAGAATGGAGGATGACCAGGTCGGATGACAAAATGCAGGATGACTACCTCATGGCATAACTGCAAACTTACTATATCTAGTATTCCGGACTCATTGTGATATAGTGGTTAAGAGTTGGGCTGTGGTCTGTAAGGTCAACAGTTCAAAACCACCAGCTGCTTCTTTGAAGAAAGATGAGGCTTTCTACTCCCATAAAGAGTTACTGTCTCAGTAACTCACAGGGGCAGAGCTGCTCTGTCCTATAGAGTCACTATGAGTTGGCATTGACCCGAGAGATAACTGCAAAGGATAATGGATACTCAAAAATTATAATGGATTATAAAACAATAAAGCATTAAGATTTGTCACCAATTCATTTTCTTTTTTCTTTTTTGTTACCAATTCATTTTCTAAGGATTTTTTGGTAAGAATCTGAGTACTCAACTATATAATCCAAGTACTCAAACATACATATTTTAATACAGCATTGTCTATAATAAACCAAACCAAAACTGAACTCACTGTCATTGAATAGATGCTGACTCATAGCAATCATATAGGACAGGGTAGAACTGCCTCTTTGGGTTTCTGAGACTGTAACTCTTTATGGGAGTAGAAAACTTCCTTTTTCTCCCTTGGAGCAGCTGGTGGTTTGGAACCATGAACCTTATGGTTACGAGTTTAACGTGTAATCACTACACCACCAGTTGGCTATAATGTCAACAAAGTGATGATTGGTGAGTAAAATTAAGATATATTGTAACTTGGTAAATATCAGAAAGATGTAAGCATGTTCACAACATATTAAGAGAAACTTGTGAGAAATTGGCATGTTTACATGTGTCTCTGCAAATAGAAAAACATTGCTAACAATAGCTTATTTTCTGAGTGGTAGGATTATGGATTGCTTATTATAGAACCAGAGTTCTACTATTTGTACTTTTTCTAAGAGAATGTATTGTATAAACAAGATATAATAGTTTCTAAA